AATTGTGTTTGTCGAAATTAAATATTTATTTTTATAAATGTATTAAATTTTTAAAATAATACTATTTTATTGAATTATCTTCTAAATCCAACTTATTTCATTAATATTTTTGTTTTAATGTTTGTTTAGCAAAATATATAAGTATTGTTTACTATTAATTACAAAATTTAGTAAGAAATTTTTAAATTTCTTCGTTTATAATATTAGTAATTTACTAAATTAGAAAAATAAAATTAAACTTTTAATTCAAAAATTTAATCACACGACTGCTATAAAAATAGAAGAAATTTCAAAAAATACCACACTTTTGAAATCTTTACAAAAATGTCACTTTTTCAAAATTATTTTTTCTTTATATTATTTATGTTTGGGTTAATTATATTCTATTAGAGTTTAGTTTTGAGTGTTTAGGGGGTTTTAGGTGTCAAGACATTCTTTAAGGTTTATAATTTTAAGATATAGGCTTTATAAATCTATAATTAGTGGCATTTTCATAAATATACATCTCTAAGTGGTATTTTTGCAAATGTGCACACAAAAGTGGCATTTTTGTAATTGTCCCTAAAAATAGAGGCAAAAAAATTTCAAAACTAAAGCAAGGTTAGTTGGCATCTAAGAAAAATATGAGTGTGTCACAACCTAGGTTGTATGAAAAATCCGATCAAGGTTCGTTTTCCATTTCGGAAACAGAAATGCGATGAAAGCGTGTTTCTTAAAATTATGAATTTGGAAATGGGATGGAAACGCGACGGAAACGCTATTTTTGATTTGAAAAAAAATTTGAAAAAAAATTATGTAAATACTTTAAAAAATTAAGGATCTATTTGTTATTATTAATAAATTTTAAAACCTATAAAACACTCATATTTTCTTTCTTTTCTAAATATTTTATTTTGAGTGTTGTCTTTTTATCTTTTAGTTAAACTATTCAATATTTTGTATTGAGTTTGTGTTGTTTTAATTATTTTTCTTTAATATGGTTTTAGTTTTTGATATGTTTTTTTTTTGAACAAAAGTTTTTGATATGTTGTTTCATGATATATATTTTATTATATGTTTTCAAAACGTTTACGTTTCTTCTTTTTTCTTAAAAACTCGTTTCCGCGTTCCTAACGTTTCGGTTCCGCATATCCGCCCGAGTCCATTCAGTTTAGGTCACAACCATGTCCGGTCCTAATGGAGTGCAAGCAGTGTTCTGCAAAGGATTCCACCGTGGGGCTCACATTAGTTACAAAATTTTTACAAAAAAAAACCCTAAATTGTTGTAAAATTAGTAAAAAAAGTCATATATGTTTGTAAAATTCATAAGAAACCCTAAAATTTTAATATATACTATATAACTGCCGAACAAATTTTTTTGGCACAAAACCTATAAAACCAATGGGTCGGACCTGTCAGAACAAGCAAAGAAAATAAAAAAATAAGCATTTGTCTTAAACATAAAACATGTAAACTAACGTTACAAATTTCACACCATTCTACTCATGCACAGTATTCCACACCGATATATTCAATCCACAACATTCTACGCAAATATCTAACTAGTGTAAGTTAGAAAAAAAAAAAAACGAGATTCCACACTATTCCACAAAGTTTGTTACACCAGTTGGGGACTTGGGAATAAATCCAATAGTTGAGGATTTAAATATTTAATGGAAAATCTTGGTGGAAACAATTGTGTCGGTCGAATAAAAATACATATATATATATTAATTATATGCTTCATCTATCAGTCCATGTGTGGAAGGGAAATGCGAGGCTTCTGCTCGCCATCATTGCAGCAGAAGAAGTGAGAAAAGAGGTTGTTCAGTGCAATACACATGTCAACATTTTGGTGTCTCCACTCCACCAGTTACATCTTTATAAAATCTGTAGCTACGTTGATTCTCTTCTTAACATTCATATTCACTACATATTAACATTTAACAGTGACTGACAATGACATGCACACTCTTTCAAGTAGGGCCCGACCGACAAGTGCACTTACATTTAGAACAAAAGAGTATGTGCTATGTTTCAATTAGGTATCAGAATCAGATTACCAACCTCGAATTAAGATTTTAATAAGAATCTCTGATCCACTTTTCTCAGCAACAAGCATATCTGAGATCAGATCAATGTTTACTAGGATGACTAAGAGTTTAATACTACTTCAACTAGCAGCCAAAAGGGAAGTTGAAAACCAGGGCTTGTGTTTGTTGCACAACAAAATTGCAAAATTCCACCATAATCTTGTACCTTTTTGGTTTCAAGACGAGTCTGTTTAGTTTCAAAGTTTACTCTGCAGTTTCTCTACTGTTGATAGTCGCCAAGGAGGTAGACGATGGTAAGATGCAACTGGTTTTACTATTTCTGTCTGTTTGTCAATTGACATTTTCTCCTCGCGTTGATCTCAGCAGCCCAGCTCTTTCCGATCTCGGTTTGGAACTTTCCTGCATTTGAAATTGGAGCAAATGTATTTTGATAAAACCAGATGATTTGAACTTACCTCTAAAACTGTAAAGCGAAAAAAGTGAGTCTGGGATGGGCTCTCTACCTGCTGTTGATATGAAAAACTCGTCAAGCACTTTCCCATGTTCTGCCACAATGTTCAAACGTCAAGTGAGTTTTTTTTAGATGGAAGAGGAACAAGCACAAGTGATTAGAAAGATAAAGATTGGGATTCACCTGATTCATATTCTAGAGCTTGGAGAATCATCTCAACCTTCGAACCACAATAAAGACAAGTGTCAGTGTATACATGTGTTGTGTAAGTTGTACGTAGCAACTATTAACAGCAACCATGAATCAAAGCCATCGATGGTTGAAAACTGAAAACCCATAATTACCTTATCAAAGTCTTTTACCAGATTTGCCTCTAAAGAAGCATTGTTCTCATACTCCAGCCAAAGTTCTGTGATCTCTTCAGCTGCAAGTTGACATATGACGTTAGAGTAAGTGTTTCGGAAACCAAACCATTAGAAGATGACAGTAGCACATGTTTATATTTTACCTCTCAGGCCTCCACCCAGAACTTTGCACATCTCCTTTAAAGCCTCTTTCTCTCTCCTACTCTTTTCTTCCTTAGGCACACCATCAGATGGGGTAATATCTCCAACAATAGCTGTTCATAAGCCAGTAAGAGGTGAAGGCTTTGTCGATTTGTAGGATTTAGTTGCAGAAGAAGAGCATGAATTAATAAATTAAGAGAAAGAAACCAATGTAAGCATCTCTTAACTACATGATTAGTTCCGTCTCCATAGAAACAGACAATTGCACAAACGAAACCAAGTACATTTGTTTTATATATATCCTACCCTACAACTCAGACATTCGAAACTATACAAGTTAGTATCCTCCAAACCACCCTGTGGTTTTGGAAGATATTTAACTAACTAGGAGAAGTGATCACGTTTCATAGTGAATATAAAAGACAATATAAACTGAACCTTGCATTGGAAAACAAGGATTAAATGTGTATTTACCTTCAGCGATGTCATGCACAATTGCCATTTTTATACACCTGTTTAAGATGCCAGAAAAATAAAAGGATTATGGAGAAAGATCCAATAAGCTATTGCCATCAAACAGGAAAATTTGTTTATCTATAGTAGGACAACCCAAGTGATAAATCTCACTTTAAAATCAATTTTTCACGGATGTTCTTCCTATTTTATCCTTCATGCAACTTTCTGAACATGTCTCTGATTTAATGACATACACTTATCTTGTAGCATAAAAAGACAATTTAAGACTGAAAAGGGAGTTTAGGCAAGAGCACAGTTTTTGCAACTCTGACTTCCATAATTCCACAACACTAGCTAGTAGCTACTCACATTTTTTTCATTTAATTCTAGAACATCTTCACTATACCCTGAGTTCCACGAATATGCCATTTCTCTAGCAGATTAAAGTCCACAACAAGTCCAAGTCACTAAACTCTTTCTCGGTTTCTCCTTAATACCCACTCTTATAGAACCAATCAATTTTAGAAGAAAAATGGATATTTATCAGCCCTCACTGAGCTCTGCATGTCGTTTATTATAAACTTAGAAAAATCTTATATATACACCAGAAATTCCAGAATGCATTGTACAATCTACAGTAGCCTTTTCTCTGTCATCTAAAAATTCAAAACACTTGAGGCAAAGACTACTAACCTTTCTCTGTCAACTCCTGTAAGATCACCAGCTATGAGTGCCATTAGAGCCATACGGTACATGTGATCAGCAATTGATTCAGGTCCATTTATCCCCTGATTAATCCACCCTTTTCTCTTTGTTGTCTACACAAGAGGGTAACAAAAAAAAAAAGAAAAAGAGTTCACTACTTGACAGTGTAGACCATGAATAACTATGCAGAACTTCAATTCCGAAATTGAAAGACACTCTGGTAGAACGAAAATCCGATAATGCAGTTGTTATATCTCAATCCATGCAGAGAATGAAAACTCCTAAAGGAGGAATATGAGAAACTGAAGATCGTAATTCCGATTCCGGAATCGATGTAAATTACACATACCTTGAGCCGATGACACAAGGTTAGAAAATCGATCGAAGAAGAAACAGAAGAGACATGATTCGTGGATTCCATAGAGCTAACCCCGTCGGAGATAGGTTTCTGGCACCGTACGGCGACGATCGTCGAAGTCGGAGAGGGATTTCTGAGGAAGAGGAAATTCCTAGAAGCGCAATGAAGCGAAGCGAGTGTCGATCGGTGGAGAAAAAGCCGGTTTAGAGGCGGCGCGATACGTGTAGCTGGACTAATCACCGCCATATCCATATATGATGAAAAGTAGGATGCTCCTTTTTGCAGTGTTTTTGCGTCTCAGAGACGAGAGAAGGGAC